TCTCCACCTGCCCAGCTCCTGTCCCTGGCTGCAGCCCAGGGTTGCCCTGCCCTCCCTTCTCCCTGCCCACAGGAGCAGCACAGGCTGTGTGTTTGGGGGGTGATCCAGTCCCTGCCTTGGGCTTGCTTGAGCTGAGAAAAGGCAGCCCCAGGGAAGGTGTTAGCTAATAATCAATGCTTTGCCCTTTGAGCGAAAGTCCGATCAGGCTTTTTCTGGAGTCAGTATTTTGTTTGTTTCATGAGGGTTGCAATGTTCCACAATTAAGTTAGCAAGTGTGAGAATTCAAGTTGCCTGCGCAGCTGTAGTCCAGCTGTGTGTGCACATTGTTTTACAGGGTGTTGTTACATGGGCATATTGTATTTTTTCCACACGCTAGCTATTGTTTCATTCAATACCAGGATGTGCTCAATTAGTGAGCAGTTATTCAGAATTGTATTTTACCTGCATTCAGTTTGTGGTCCTAGACTTACCAGTGTAAACAGGCGCCCACCACAGTGTTAGCTGTAGGGATATTAAATATGGGTTAATTGAATAGTCGATTAACCTCATGAATTCTTATTGGTTGCTCGATTATTCTAAAGTCCTCGGAGGTGGAGCTGACAGCCAGTGCGCTCTGGCCTCACTCCCGAGGAGCCCCCTTACACTTCATGCTTCTGCCTCTGTATCGGTTCCCCTCGCGGACCGGTTGCCTGGTACTGCTGCCTCTGATACAGAGGCAGCAGCAAGGGGGGCGGGGGCTGAGTTCCTGGACCAAGCGCAAGCCTAAACTGAACCAGGCTGCCTGCCCGCCTGGCTCCTAATCCAATTTAAATGCAGAGCCCCTGCAGGGGTAGGTCCGAGACCCAGCACAAGCTAGGACTGAGTCAAGCTGCTGGCCAGCCTGCTAAAAAATGTACATCCAGTCCCTGACTTACAAACAAGTTACGTTACAAGCACTTGGTCGTAACTCGATGTGTTTGTAAGTTGGACCCCATTCATTTCAATGGGACCACGCTGTTCGTAAGCGAGGATCGCCATTCGTAAGTCGGGGCCACACTTAATGGCCAGCTGGTCGTGAGTGCAGGTGGCCATGCGTTGATGCGTTTGTAAGTCAGGGACTGGCTGTACTGACAAGGTGTGCGTGGGGGGAGAATGCGTGTAGTCTATAGCAATAACCCATAATCTTATCAGTTAATCAATTACACTATTACATCCCTAGGGAGCTACTCCCCTTGTGGCGATAGTTTGCTGTGACCACACTGGGACATAAAAAGTAGTGCTACGGCAGTGCTTTAAACTTGGCAAAGACAAAGCCTTAATCATGAGACCATCCTTTCTCTTCCTGTAATCCCTGCTTTGTTCATTACACACTTTCCAACTTCTGCAACCAATGAGGGGCAGTTGTCCTGCAGATTGGTGTCCTTCATAGGTAGAGCTAGTTCATCCCCAGAAAACCTCCATTGACTGAGGTGAGAATCCTATGGAAAAAGTAGTACATGATCACAATGCATATGCACAGGCAACCTTCATTCTGGCATTTCCAAACTTGTCAGTGCTTGACTCTTGCAACCTTAATATTCTTTGGATGTAATCTTTTGGAAGTTTGGTCTGTGTGTTCAATTTTAAGCTTCAGATTTGTCAATTTCCTTGGCGGCTCTTTATGTGCTTAAAAATGAGAAGTTCTTGCATACTGACATTTGCCATTGTTTGCTTGTCTAAAGTGCTTTGTGATACACCTTCATCACTCTTGAGGCTACCTTATCAAGTCTGTCCTGTCAGGTAGCTCCCCTTCATTTGTTGGGAGTACTTTTATTTTTTTCTGCTTTCAATGGTTTTTTTTTTTTTATTCTCTCTCCTTCCCCCGCTCCTCTTCCCCCCCCCCCCTGCTCAAAGAATGGCTCACTGCAAGGGTTGAAAATTATCCTGGTCTGAAGTCTATGGGCAGAAGTTACTACAAGATACTAAAGACTGAACCAATGCAAAATAGCACGGCAGTTTTGAGGGACCAGTTATGTTATTAAGCGATGGTTTCTCTCAATTTGTTTTCTGGCCCTGATGAGAAATTATGTTCATGTCACTTTGATAACTATCTTGCGCCCTTTCATCCGTTTCTAGTCACAATTTAGTGATTGCTCTGTAATACCTGTTACATTTGAAATTAAAAAGCATTTTATATTGAATCAGATCTTAGAAATCCAGGTCTTCATTCACTAAGGGGCTTAGGAGCTTTATTACCACATGGGCACCTGCATCCCAAAAACAAACCCCATCCCTGTTCAGCTGATCTAAATCCTGTAGGTACCTGAACGTACTCCATTTATAAAAGCTTTAGTGGGTAGCTGAATTAGTCTGTACAGGATAAATTTAAAAAACAACAATTAGTTTGGTAGCACTTTATAGACTAACAAAACATGTAGATGGTATTATGAGCTTTTATGGGCACAGCCCACTTCTTCAGATGTCCGAAGTTTTTAGTTTAGGATGTCCAGACACAAAATAAATAGGGGGAAGGAAAAAAAAATGGAAGGGGGTGGGAAACAAGAAGCAGAGGGTATGTAAATATCAAAGTGAAAACCAAACAGGCAAAATCTATAAGCACCAAAAAATTGGATAGTTAAAAGAAGCAGATAAGGATAAGTTTTTGCAGCAAAAGTTTGATCATTACCTGTTTTTGCCTCTCAGCATGCACAGTGCTTTCTCACCCTAGACATCCGTTTGCCTAAGCTGTAGTATGTACAACCCAAGGGAGAGAGAGCTGTTTTTCCGCCTACCTTATTTGTGGGGTTTGATCTAGTAGGTATGTTCAGGCTGCTTATGGAAATAGGTCCTGCATACGAGTTCATGGATCACTGATCAGGAAAAATATCTTTCTATGCTGCCTCATGAGGGAGTAGATGGGTGAGAATGTATATCATGTATATGACTGTCGTCTTTCCAAGACAGTATTGGTGCACACTGCACAATATGGCATTCTTGTTTAGCTAGCAGGTCATTAAATCTGTCTAGTAATATGTGACTTATAAAAGATGATTAAAACACTCATGTAAATTCTCAGTATCCACATGGTGAAAGATGATAAATTAAGGTGTAGTATTAGAATGACTGGACAATAAATAGTGTTTAAAAATTAAAGAGTGTTGTGAAGACAGAGGTATTTAGATTTGATGCACTGTGGGGAAACACGCAAGGGTCTGCTTCTGTCCTCATAGAAACAGAAGTCAAAGAAAACATGATTTTATTCTGATTGATTTTTTTTTTAGCATATTGGTTTTTTTTTCTGGCTATAGATGAAACAGAATTTAGAAACTTTATTGTCTGGCTTGAAGACCAGAAAATAAGACACTACAAGATTGAAGACAGAGGAAGTTTAAGAAACATACACAATGATGAATGGCCTAAAGCTTATGAAAAGGTAACTTCATACCTAAAATAATAGAACACATTATAATCTCTGTGTGGTAGCTAGTTTTGGTGATAAACCACGTCTGTTTGTGTGTATCTTACAACAAATGTATTTGAGAGACAAGGCATGTGGGGGAATATTTTTTATTAAACCAACTTCTATTGATTAAAGATCTTACACGCAGCTGAAGAAGAGACCAATGGAACTTGGTCCAGTCGAAAATATTTCTTCATCCAGGTTGTGTCTCTAATATCTTGAGATGGTGGTGGCTACCACTGCATACAACAGATATATATGAAAGGGGGAAATGATGAATCCTTTATTTGCTGGATGCCAAAATGTAGGACTAATTGTGGTAATTTATTATACATGATTTTTGCTTTAATCTATACATGATTAATTTGTCAATAATTGGTATCCTTGCTTCTTGGATAAGGTGTTTCTGCTTTTGATGCAAAAGGAAATTGGCTAAAAATAGTTTCTTCTCTGCATAAAATTAGACACCAAGGTGGAAATTGATGAGGATCAGCTAATCTTAGTCTTAGCCATGCGTAAAGAACTACTGTAACTGCTTCAGTCTGTTACTATTTCTGATGGATGATTTCCCACTACCCGCAGAAAGTATGGCAGACAGCTATAAATTTGTGGCAGTCCTGCAGTGCATGAGCACTTTGCAACTCTCCTCACTGTGACCTCCTCAGACAGAAAGGAATGTGGGCTCAGTCCAGCAAGATGCTGAACTCTGGATTTGATGCTGCAAAGCACTTAATTTTTCCGCACATTTATTTCAGTGGGTCTACTTGAGGGATGTAAAATCCTGTTTAATTAGTAAACCAGTTAAACTGAACATTTAACTGATTAATTGAACAGAGACATGTGGGGGGATGGGACACCACTGCCAGGCTGGGGGACACCACACACACTCCACACACTGTGCACGGGGGCTGCTCTGGCTGTGCTGGAGTGCCACTGCCTGCAGTGCAGCCTGAGCCAGGCCTGCCATGGACAGAACTGCCCCAGCTAGGCTGGAGCATCTCCTGCCTGTGCTGAGCCCTGCAGGGCTGGAGTAGGGATGTGAACGACTAGTCATCCCCCTTGCTGCCTCTATCAGAAAGAGGCAGCAAGGGGGGAGGGGAGGGGAGTGGGAAGGGGTCCTTTAAAGCGGTGGCGCCATGTGGAGCCTGGGGCCAGATCCTGGGTTCCATGCGGCACTGCTGCTTCCCGGCTGCACGCAGTGTTTCAAGAGGCAGCACCACAGGGAGCCCGCTCAGACTCCCCAGCTGACCCTGGGCTCCCCACAGCGCTTTTGCCTTTGGAATGTAGCTACAGCCCGGGGGCTGTTGCTACGCTCCAAAGGCGGAGGCGCCCGTATCGACTAATCAAATAGTCCATGCAAGTTGCATCAACTATTTGATTAGCTGATTAATCTAAATGTAACAACCCTAGACTGGAGCAGTCCCTTGCCCATGGTGGGCTTAGTTAACCAATCGGTAAGCTTCACCTATCGGCCATTAACATCCTTAGTCTACTTGTGTACTTCATTGTCTTGAGGGATGAGGTTAAAGTGGTCCATACCTTGTAGGATAGAGCCCTAAAGCACTGAAGGTGCAATTCTTTGGTTTTTCTGACCTGTTCCCCACTTTCTACTGCTTGTGCTGTTAGGAGGAAGCCAAGGGAGTGGAGGTGACAGGAAGATGGCATGTTTTGGAGTGTCTTAAATCTCTTGTGTATAATATTACCATGAAAACATCAATTATTCACTTGTTCAGAAGCAGAGATGATTACTGAGCTAAGAGACATGATGAATTGTGGCATCAGAAGCACTGAAATGTGTCAGATGTGCCACAGCAGAACGATATTACTCAAGATTATTGGCCTTCCAACAAAACTGGGCTTGATAGAGGAGATGACTGTTGGAAATGCTAATTTATCAAAGTAATTGTACAATGTTGAATAATTTGTGGATCTGTTTCCTCCCAACCAATAATAAGAGATGCGTTCGTTCTCTCTCTCTCTCTCTCTCTCTCTCTCTCTTTTTTCCTCCCCCCCCCCTTTCTACAGTATCTGAAAGATGTCAACTGTCCCTTCAAGACAGAAGAAAGACAAGAAACCATTGATTGGCTTCTTGGATTAGCTGTTAGGCTTGAGTATGGAGATAATGGTATGGCTGATTTTAAATACTTTTATTTTAAAGGTGTTAGGGAAATTATTTATAACAGCTATCATTCCAATTAACTTTTCAAACAAGCAATGAGATTACATAGAAAATGTTTATTAAATGTATAATTTACTTCAGATATTTTTATGAATTCCTGTTTTATTTTGTAACATTTGAATAAGAGACTTCTCCTTTTTAAAGCAACTTCTCTGGGTTGATTTTAGCAGTAAACTCATAATTTCCTGGTTTGTTGGCAGAGATAGGACTGAAATAATACGCAGTGTTGTCTTCCTTATGGGATTACACTTGAGGCAAAAAGGTGCAAAAAAAGACAGTTTTTCTCTCTTTAGCACATCTTTTGATTTTAAGCAGAAATAGCAAGTTAAATGTTCTTAGCAATATATGCTTATTTTTCCCCCAGTATGAAAGTAACTGGTAATATTCCTGTCATGTTATCTATAGGAATGGTGTCAGTTGTATAGTAGCACATACTAGAAGTGTTGTATTCTGTCCATCTGATGTCCAAGGATCAGGGTCAACTAAAATGTGTGACTAATGGTCCCATCTACAATGATCATTGAATGCCATCCATTAACAATGAAGAGGTTCTAGCTTAGAAATCTAGTTGGCAACCTTTTTTAGAGTAGTTCTCCACTCTACAGTCAGTTGAATTGTTCCTTCTTGCTTAGCTAGGATGAAGACTGCCATTAAAGAGTCTGTTAAGCTTTAAAGCCCTCCCTATGATGTAGCACACATCCGCAGTTCTGCCCTGCCTTTGAAGTAGTACATAATAGTAACAGCTCCTACCTGAGCACGGTTTTTAAAATCTCTCACTTTTGGGGTTTCAGTAGTGGGAAATAACACACTGATTTGGCTGCCAATGTTCCAGTAAGTCTTCTACTGTTTGCTGAAAATGCAGTTGGCCCAGTTGCAGTTAACAGTATGCACTAGTACTTTTTTCTATACTTTGAACTCTGTTAATTTTTAATTATCAGTTGTCACCTGAATTTTATATTAATGAAACAAAACTATTTTTATTTTGACAGCTGATAAATATAAGGACGCCACACCTGACGGTGCTAAAAATGCTGATAATGCAGCAAAAACTGCAGAACCACTGATAAACTTGGATGGTAAGTGCGCAAGTTACTATATCTTGTTGATCTCTAGGAAAACATTTTTGTTGCTACATCTTAAATCTGTTCCGCTTACATCTGCAGACCCCCCATCCCCCTGCCCCTGTGTGTGAGAGTATATATTATATAATTTTTTAAAAGAGTCTGAAAGTCATATTTTAGTATTTTGGGTACCAGATAGATCCAGAAAATCATCTTAAGAGTTCTTGAAATTCATGGATTCTGATATTGTAATGCTGTCCATTGGGCATGTAATGTTTGTTTGAATGCTTTTATTTCCCAACACTCTGCATTTATACTGAAGAAAAGATGAGTACTACTGTTTTGCCCCATATTAATTCTAGTCTTTTTTAACTGGCTTGATGAAGCGTGTGTTCTGGTGGGAGATTCTTTCTTGTAGAGCAAAGTACTTAGAGCTTTATTAGGGCACGAGGAAGGAAGGAATACAAGCTAGAATAAGAAAAGAAGAGAATATTCTGAAGACTAGTTAGATGTAGTCTAGTCAGCAGGGCCTGACAAAATGCACTCTAGGTACTTAAGGAACTAGCTGAAGCAATCAGAATGATGTAGTGATCATCACTGAGAACTCAAGGAGGATGGGTTAGGCCCAGAGAACCAGAAAAGGGCAAAACATAGTTATGTATTTGTAAAAAGGAGACCTGGGGAATTGTAGCATAATTTTGATACTTGGAAAGATATTGGAACAGATTATTCAGTAATCAGTTTGTAAGCATCTAGTGGATAATAAGGTGATAAGTAATAGCCAACAGAGACGTCAAGAACAAATCATGACAAACCTCTCCTTCTAATTTTCTTCTTCGACGGTTACTGGCCTGGTGGATGAGGGGTGCAGGAGAGCAATCATTATGTTATATCTTGATTTTATTAACACTATTGTCACAGTTCCATGTGACATTCCCAGAAGCAAACTAGGAAAATGTGGTCTAGATGAAATTATTATAAGGTGGGTGCATAATTGGCTAAAATATTGTTCTCATAGTTCCTGAGTGATATGTTATCACAAACTGGGAGATTTATGTAGTGGAACCCCATGAGGGTCTGTCCTAGATCTGATACTACCCAGTATTTTCATTAAGGACTTGGGTAATGGGGTGGATAGTACATTTGTAAAATTTGTAAATCACACCAAAATGGCAGTGGACAGGGAGCTGTTCCAGCACCCTCTGGTTAACTGTTAAGGGTGATGCTTACTGGTTAACCTTTCACATCCCTTCGGGGAGGGGCTGAAACTCTGCCTGACTCCCTCCCCCAATTTGTGTGGGAACATTGCTGGCTGTTCCCCTTCCTCAGGGAGCAAGGGGAAAGTGCACAGTTTGCTGCATTCCTCACTCTGGCTGGGGAGCACAGGGGGCAGATGAACCTGACCTGTCCCAGTGGGGAGACATGAACCTCCTCCTCTGCTGTGTCCTCTGGAGCTGCAGCAACCATGGAGAGGCGCTTCTTACCTGGCCCCAAGCTGCTGCAGTGAGAGGGCTGGGGTAGATCTCTCTCCACAGGGCAGCCTTCATCCCCAGCTCAAGCAAAGATTTTAGCAAAGCATGTACGTTTTCATTTTATTTCCCAAAAAACAAAAATTAATTGAATTAACCTGGCGTTGCTCGGGTCCTTAATCTTCTAGTGCTGTGGTGTCCAACACACTAGCCACATGTGGCTGTTTGGCTGGTTGAGTGGCTAGTTCACTAGTGGCTTCAGAACTGATTGGACACTTCAGTTCTAGTGGACGTCTATAGAGGCAATATGCTATTTCCTGTCTTATCTGACCTTTGCTTAATGAGTCCCAACATTCTGTTAGCTTTTTTGACTGCCGCTGCACGTTGAGTGGATGTTTTCAGAGAACTGTCCACAATGACTCCAAGCTCTTTCTCTCTTGAGTGGCAACAGCTAATTTAGTCACTATCATTTTGTATGTCTAGTTGGGATTGTTTTGCAATGTGCATGACTTTGCATTTATTAACATTGAATTTCATCTGTCATTTTGTTGCCCAGTTACCCAGTTTCTTGCGAGCCCTCGGTTAAATCCAAAGTGGACTGTGTGCAAATTTTGCCATTTTTATGTTATGCCAATACCACTTTTATCAACCACACTTGTAATTTAATGAAACATTGTATCAGATTACTTCAACAGAATCGATTTTTCCATAAAAGCAGGCTGCTTTGCATCAATTACGTTGCCCTCTGTTAAGTCTTTATTAGAATCCCATTTCAGTTGTTCCACTGTCTTTGCTTGGGTCAGTGTCAAGCTGATAACTACCCAGATCACGCTGTTGAGTCTTTTTTTAAAATTGTCACCACATTAGCTTTCCTCCGGTTTTCTGTGAATTGCCCCAGATAAGCGCCCCAGCCCCAGCCCTGAGCCTCCTCCTGAACCCTAATTCCCTCCCAGACCCTGTGCCCCAGCTCTGAGCCCACTCCTTCACCCTAACTCTGACCCAGATGCCACACCCTCACCTACTCCCATCAGTCCGCTTCTGCACTCCAAGCCCATTAACCCCAGCCTGGAGCCTCCTCCTGAACTCCAGACGCCTCTGCCCCATCCCGCAGCCGGCACACCCAGCCAGAGCCCTCCTCTCTCCCTTACTCTGACCGCCCCTCCTTCCCCACACGCCAGATCCCTCGGACCCAACCCCACCACAGCTCATCCGTATGCAGAATAAATGTTATGGAGGTGATATGTTGCATGTCATCTTCCTATTGATGCACATCACAACATTTATTCTGTGCATAGACATTACAAAATTAGAGAGAATACTACCCCCATTCCTGAAGGCCACAACATAAATGTGGTTGCATATATAGGCAAATATATTTGCAAATACAGTAAAACTCCAGTTGTCCAGCATCCAGTGGTCCGGCACTCCCGATAGTCTGGCACCAACTGGAACCCAGAAGTGCTACGGCCAGCTGGACATTTGGAGCTGCTGTGAGCCCCATGGGTGCTCGCTGCTGGGAAAGGAAAGGCGAGAAGAGGGGAAGGGGATTATACCCCTGTGACGGGTCTGCTGGGACCTGCACTGTGTCCTGCTGGGGGATGGGCGGGGAATAGTGCAGCGAGGGGCGAAGCCTCCTCTGTTTTGCAGGATGGCGGGGGGAGCCCCTCCCCTGCCCCAGCGGTCTGGCTCAGACTTCAGTCAGCAAGTACAATCCTGCTCTGCAGCCAAGAAGTGGTGCAGAGATCTTCAAAAGAGATCATATGTTAATGCAGGGCCACTCAACTTTGGAAGCACCGGGGCCACAATGACACTCACCGCACATGCTGAAGGCCACAACATAAATGTGGTTGCATATATAGGCAAATATATTTGCAAATACAGTAAAACTCCAGTTGTCCAGCATCCAGTGGTCCGGCACTCCCGATAGTCTGGCACCAACTGGAACCCAGAAGTGCTACGGCCAGCTGGACATTTGGAGCTGCTGTGAGCCCCATGGGTGCTCGCTGCTGGGAAAGGAAAGGCGAGAAGAGGGGAAGGGGATTATACCCCTGTGACGGGTCTGCTGGGACCTGCACTGTGTCCTGCTGGGGGATGGGCGGGGAATAGTGCAGCGAGGGGCGAAGCCTCCTCTGTTTTGCAGGATGGCGGAGGAAGGCCCTCGCCGCCACCAGAGCCCACGC